TAAGCAAACCCTGGCTAGCCCTACTGCATTGAGGGTCTATTTTCTTTCAAAAATTATTTCTGTTATAACGGAGAGGGGAATGAGGAAGCAAGAACAAATTTTTTTTTACACAAAATTGCCATTTAAACCTTAAAAAAGGTGATAGATGGCTGGCCCTAGCAGGTAACATGATTACAAAAATATTGAAGTTAGATGAATCGGCTCTTGCTTATCATAAGGTGATGGTTCAGTTCATTGCACGCTGAATTTTGAGAATTTATGTGGATGGATGTTGCTACTTCAAGAATAGAATATTACTCATCCTGTACCAGAACAGAACTCAGAAAGACATAGTATGCAAGCATTCTCTTGAACTTCACTTCACTAGACTTTCTTCACTTTTTGATTGATGAAGCATGTTTAGTAGAATGACTCCAACTCCTTGTTTCTAAGAAATATTATGAAATGCAGCACATGATGTCTCTGGCTGGAAAAATGTCCTCAACAGAATGAAGCACTGTAGCTCTAAGTGAAGTTAAATGCATGCAGCCACCTATCCACACACACACACACAAACCCAATCCAACAGCCATCTACCTACCCACCCACCACCTGCTCCTCAACGTACGCAAGTGTAGGAACTGCGGAGTACGGAAAAAGTTCTAGAACTGTAAGCAATGCCACCAAACCGTTTTGCTAATTTTTTTATTTTCATTATTACATTTTGAACTGTTATGTTAACAATAAAAGTGTTTTTTTCCCTTCCTAGCACCGAAACATGTATCAAGAATTTTCTTTGAGCTAACCTGCACTTAAGTAAATTTCTTTAGCAGCAAAGTATCGCTATCACCTATCTGCCCCAGGACGAGACAGAGAAGATGTGGCAGATGACAACATATTACACTACGATCTCTCATTGTTAAGACACATTTGGGATTAATATCATTAATGTTGTAAGAACTGTTAACGATATTGTTACTTCTAGAGAACTTAAAATTTTGCATTTAATAGGGTAAAGATGCAAATCATTTAATATAAATATGCCACACAGCTTGAAGAACTGTTTCCAAACATAATTCATGGAAAGCATGATGTTCACGTTCACCGACCCTAAAAACCACAGGAACAAGTATAAAAACTACAACTGATCTTTCTACCATTTGCCTTTTTTGAGCACCATTTGACTGGACTAGCTTCTCAAGTGTTAAACAGCCAACAATATGATAGTAGATACTTTTATTAAAAGTATACAAATGCACGTATGTGGCATAATCTTTTCTTAATTTCACAACATTTCAAAACTGTTCAATGTCTTCTGGGATTCTCATGATTCTCTGACTGTTTGCCCAGTTTAATTATAGCAGATGTAACAAACATGACATTAAGATCGATTGATTCAACTGACATGTTCATTCTCCTTGTTAGATGAGTAAATGCTTTATCCTGGTAGCTGATGGTGTTCCCTCTCTGCTGGATCATGAGAGCCGGATCTGGCTATATGCTGGCTTGCAGGGATTTTTGCCCTCCCCTACAAGGAATTTCGATCTCCCCTCAGCAGAGCATGCTCTAAGCTCATGACTGGTCTCCCAAAATGTGATAATGCTTGCAACTGTAAGTGTATGTAAGGGAGACAAAGAGACTTGAATGAGGAAGGAAAGATTGTGCTGTCTTTCCTTCCCCTTCCTGCGTATGGCCTGACTTCTCCAGCATGCAGCAGGTTTTGACAGGAGAAACCACGAAACTACCTCTCAGAGCAGCTAGCCAACGGAATTATCTTGCAGAATGACTTACATTCAACCTAGCTATCTAGTTTATGTCAACAATCAGCCACCATCAAAACTCAATCACTAGGACCTCCGGTTCAGTGTGACCAAAAAAATGGTGCCAATGAGTGTTTCGGAGTATCTCTGCCAGTTGGCAATAAAAGTTATTTGATAGAACAAAACTCTGAAATAAATGTACCTCTTCATCACTACTGTGATCCATTTCTTCATCATCACCTTCAGCCTCATCTCGATCAGATCCATCTTCGCCCATCTCCAAGGTAATAGTATCACATTTCACAGGAGTGATTGTAGTACAGCCGATCTGTAGAGTTTTTGGAGGAGATTCATGGTCTAAAACATACACAAATATTCAATAACGATAGTTTTAACAATTATTAAACCATTGAATTTCGCCAGAATATTCACCTGAATTTTTTTTCTTATTTGCTGATTTTACACGGTTTTTGTTTACTGGTTCCGTAACAGGAGTATTGTCACTCATTCTTACTGGTCCAGTCAGCCCCGGAAAGCATATAATCGCCAGAAACCAATGACAACTATAAAAAGAAAATAATTCTCATTTTATAAAACTCAACAAATGTGAGGAAAGCAAATACCGATACTTAAATAACCATTCAATTAACTTTGAAAAGACCCTACCAACAGTTGAACGTTATCTGCACAATTTTGATGTAATACCATGGAGGAATACATACTAGGAGAGAAAACTCTCACTGTTTGAGAGGTTAGACTATACGATTTGTCAGTGCCATTTCCATGTGGCGACATCCATTTTAAGGTACATGCGTAATTTCAAATGCCACTTCAGTAATTTGCATGTTAGGTTGCAGTGCAATCTTACAAAACTTGTACCATTTGTTTCACCACTGAATTCCATTTCTTCCTGGTGGAGTGTGTGTTGCACCTAGCAGTATGCTTATTTATGTCACCTTATTTGCGAGCGATATTCGGCAGAGTATTTTGCTACATTAAGTATTGCAGTTCACAATGGTGAGATGTTGGGCTCCAGAATGCACCAATGCTGTTTGGCAGGATGAAGAACCAAGTTTCTTCAGGTTTCCCTCCAGGTCAGGAAGGTGAGTGAAATAATTATAATTATGATAAGTTAGTGTAGATGAATGGGAAATATATTACTGCTTGTTGCATTGATCAAATTCAAAAAGTAATAATTGCATTTGTCCCACACAAACCGAAATAAATGAAAACAAATTATTGTTATAATGTGTATTGAGTTCAGTTTGTTTCCTGATACATTTCCATCTAGTATTGTGCCATTTCATATATCATTGTATGTTTCAGACAACTTAAAAGCTTTGTCATTGTTTTATAAATAAGGCACTAAGTCCAACATCTGCAATATATAATGCTAGAGAAAATGTATTAAATTTTTTAAACAGGTTTTTATTACAGGTGCAAAAGTGGCTCAGGTTGTGTGACGTAAAGTATAGAAACTGGTCAGCTGGAGGAGGTTAAGAGATCTAAATTGCATGAAAATGTCCTTCAGTATGGCAGTGTTGAAGAATACCACTTATTCCTACATTAATAGGCAAAACAATTGCTTTCCTTTTGAACAAAACCTGTGAATAACTCTCCCAACAAATGGTACTCCTTTGCAGTCCTTGTTGAATTTAAGCTTTTAAATCTTGCTTGTTTATTACCCTCTAATTGTATGGTTTGAATGAAAAATTAGTTAGAAGAAAGAACATGTGATTTAAACTAACAAATAATATTTGTATTGGGATAATTTCCAAACTAATCTGCAGATCTGGAAGAGTATAAAAGGACCATGAAATCCAAATGAATAAATTTTAGATATGATTAAATGATAACTTTTTAAAACTATTGAACTATCACAAAGTGCAAACATGGAGGTAGCTTTTCCTGGCAAGTAAACTGTCATGAATAGTGTTTGAATCCATAGCTCTATTGATAGAGATGACTGGATAATGAATGATCATGAGCAGAAAAGGAGGGATCAAATATTTGCCCCTTGGGACAATTATTTTAAGTATGATTACGTGATGTATTAGTAGTTTCATAATCGTGACAAAAATTGTTCCTCTAGTCAAACATCTGATACAACATGCAAGTGATTTAATTATGTTGATATAAAACCATTTATGCCAACTGTACCACATGCCATTTAAAATAGATTTATGTTTAGTGTTATAACTTGAAAAGTTGGAGATACAATTATGATTGTATTAACACATGTGAATATTTGTATGTCAACAGTTGTTTAAAAAGTAATGTAATGTGTTTGCTCTATGATCATGTAAGAGTGTTTTCAAAATATCTTTTATAGATACTAGATGGAAAAAATGTCTTATTGTCAATTGATTCTTCACCACCTCAAATTATTATGTTTCAGGCATGCAAATAGAGTACAAAACGTTAACGAGGTTATCTACATTGGATGTCCCAAAAGTAGATACAGTACTGTGCCCCTTCCAGATGCTTCAACTATCAAGAAATATTCATTCTAGCCACAGTGCAGTGCAAGTGCAGTGCAAGTGCAAGTGCAAGTGCAAGTGCAAGTGCAAGTGCAAGTGCAAGTGCAAGTGCAAGTGCAGTGCAAGTGCAGTGCAAGTGCAGTGCAAGTGCAGTGCAAGTGCAGAGGTGCCGCATGAGTTTCCCTTCCTATTCTGAATTCCTCCATGGCAATACAACGAAATTTTAATCGCTGTTTTCTATTCAAATAAAAAAAATAAAAATAAAAAATTAAATCAATTTATTGATTAAATGATCCACAACATAATGATATCAATTAACAAAAATCAACACTTTTGTACTCACTGTTCATTTATAGGAATAACAACAAAATCCTTCTCAAACAAATTGACATTCTTTGTCCAACTTTTCACACGGCTGTGTCTTTTCTCAGCAGGTGTCAATTTAGGATCATCTTCAATAGGATGAGATCGGCGAGCAGTTTTTGGAGGTCGAGTTGTAAGTCGTTTGTAAAAAAATGAACTGAAGACGTGTGTCCGCTGTTGATCATACTCTGAGAGTACTGACAAAGTGAGATACCTGGAAAATAAATCCTTTTTTGTTGAACAGATAGTTTTAAATCTTTGAACACTTAATTACATTTTCTTCACTAATTCGCTTGACACAAATGAATACAATATTTTTTTCATTGGAATTTCCAAAGGAATTGCAATTTTGAAAAGTTCAAAAGATATATCACGAACCTTAAATAAAAGTCAATGATCACATCATTTAGGAACTGGTCCTCCTTCAAGCAGGCATAATCTTCAGTGTTAATGGGAATACCACCTTTCCCAGGGTGAGGGGGATATACTAGAATTCTAAAATAATACAATGTGTTAGGGAAAATGTTTTAAAACATATTTTCTGGCACAAAGGACAAGAAAAAGCAAGACTTACGTATGTATTTCATTATTGACTGGTTTTGGAGTAGTTGCTCCAATAGTTTTCTTCATCATGCTCTGCACCTGAACAATTTCAATTGAATTGTGTATGTATAATAATTATTCAACAAACACATAATGTGTACAAACATATCACACAGTGAAACCAAGTTTTATGGTAGTTATTAGACATAAAGATGAAAAAAATCTGGCCCCCTAGGATGATGTTACACAAAGATTGCATGAACCTTAACCGGCTACACAGTGCTGTTCAATCTACCAACAGAACTTTATTAATTTTAATAATGTGTTTTTCAATATTTTGGATTTACATTGAATAAACGCTACGTGTTAAAAGCTAATTTGACTCGTGTTCCTAAAGAATGTAAGGCTTGTAAACGCTGAAAGTTGTTTTCACGTTTTTGTGAATTAAGGATGTTTAGAAATGATATTGAATGAACTTCAGAACTGATTCATTAGTACAAATGATATAGCATGTAAATTGAAAGTAATTCAACCGTGAGAATCGAAGAAATCATCAGATGAAGTAATAATTGAAACAAATCAATTGGTTGAAATATATCCTAAAGATATTTATTAGTGACTATTGCACTAATGAGACGAATCGCATTTGTAGTTTGCCGAATAGCTTGGGCGCTGACAACGGCATTTTGACAAATGGATATGATGCCTTTCAAAATTAGTTCTGATTATGTGAAATTTTTAAACTTGTAATTAATTTTATTTTTATTCTTTTGAGCAAAGGTTGGAATTACTTTCTGCCTATGAGATCTTTTTGATATGTTATATGTATCTACACTATTTACTCTTAATTATTTTTAAAATTGTATTTTTACTAAGAGTTCAGTCCAGTTGAAACGCCCTGCATAGCGACGGAAATAAACAACCTGAATACTGAATTCAACACAAAAATTCGATGGGTTCTTCTACAATAATGTAAATGTTCTTGCTTATTGGTAACCTATGCCATTTTGGACGTTATATGGTCTTAAAGGGACATTCATTGCGAATGTATAACCATGAAAAACTTATAAATGTAAAACATCTGAAATAATTTAGCATGGAATGTAAAGGTATTTATTCCAGACTAACAGAAAAAATGTAAAAGTACAAAACGTATAAACGGAGTTTCACAGTACCTGTTTGCTTGTTTGTTGTTTTTAATAACTTCACAAGAATAATTTTATTTTTGCATAATAAAAATGGAAGTTAATATCAAAAATTGGTTGTTTCAGTTAAATCAATTTTTTAAAATAACAATTCCAGAAATAGAATTGTTCCATCTTAACATGAAGCGGCACTGTTGAATTTATTCATTACAATATTGTACATTCTATCCAATTTTTAAAAGTGATTTCGGGATTCCAAATGGATAAAATATTGGTTTCTCATGCACATTCTAAGTGCCTCGTTTGCTCAAAGGTACTGACTATGCCAGTTATTTACTCTCCCACCCTCTTTGAGCTCGCAAGCCTATTTGCCCGAGTCTGTCTCTTTCAAATTAGTTTCCAGCTGTGTAGTTGTTTCTTCCTAATTTTTGGAGAATTGTTATACTTACAAGATTAAATATTAAAACATTAATATGCTTATTCATTTTAAATTAATAATTCAATTTATGTAAAAAAATGAGAACAGTGAGTTCGGAAGAAAAAGTGAGAAAAGGGGGGATACAACAAAAATTGTCTAAAAAAGTGACTCACTGAGAGGTCTGTAATAAAAGTGTCATTCGTCATTACAAAATTAAACTAAAGAAAAAAAAGAAGAAAAAAAGAACTTACATCTTTAGGAGATGCTCTAACCAAAATATCATTGGCTTCTTTGTTGTTTAATTCTTCCAGAACATTGATAGTACCAAAAATTGCTTTAAGTATCACTTTACTATCCTCTTGCAGGCGCTCTGGTAAAAGTGTTATGCGTTTCTGGGTATCATCTACATAAAAATAAGTAAAATTATAAAAATATTACAATATCTCAAATTAAAAATGAACACTTGTTACAAGCAAATGTTTGTCAAAACCAAATAATTGCAGATGCATTATTTTACAATGACATAACAACAATAATATTTCAACCCCCTTTACATAAACATTTCTTCATGTTTATGATGAAGAACATTAAACAATATTACCCACATTATACGTTACCACACAGTTAACAAAATTTAATTATCTTATAAACACAAATTTGCAATTGATATTTCATAACAAAGACGGATACATCCAATTTACATTCTTAGGAATAGAAATAACATTCACAATTTCAATTTTAACATACCTTGGCTAGTGGGGTCATAGTAGGGTCCACTCTTTGAATCCATTTTCAAAGAATTTCGAATTCTGGCTGCAGCTGTTGGTTGGGCATAAAAAAACAGAACAGGCATTCCCCGTCCAAAATGTATGAGTACTTTTACAACTTCCTTTATGCCAAGGGTCAGTGTTACTGGCTTTGTTTCTGCAATACAATGAAAAAGGTTCATTAGATCAGCTTCAAAACTGATGATTTGAGAAGCCGAGAAGCACTGAACAACACTCATTTTCATAGCACAAAATATGATTAATGCTTGAAGAAAGTCAATGCACTGTAGTTCAAATGAAATAATAAGACTATAAGTTTCATTTAAATGCATACATGATTCCATCTTTTCAAAAATAAATACAGTGAAACCTCTTGATAGTCACTAATAATTCCACCAAAAATTGACCATTAGCAGAGGTGGCCGTTCTATGAATGTTATGAGGCGATGTGAAGGATATTAAAATTATGAGGTGATGGGAAGCATATATCAGGCTTTCATAGTCTAGTTCATTGAAATGGTACATGGAAATGTCAAACAACTAGGCATTAATTGCTATAAAACAAAATGTTTTACTTAAAGTCATTTTAATTGTCTTAAATTTGTTGTGTTGTTTGTTTCATAAGTTAACATTTCTTTGGCTTTCAAAAATTTCTTCATTTATTTGTGTCCTTCCACACTGAAAATCTCTGCAAGTTCTCTCTTAGAAACCCCTTTCTTGTTTTCTAAGATCACTTCCTCCTCGCATCAAGTGTCTAAAACACTTGAAATAATTCATCCTCTCACTCATGAACCTCACTTTCCATCCTCACTGAACCGGTCATGCATCCTATCTGAAGCAAACTACTTCATAATGTAATTCATTCTGTATTATATTTTGAAATAGTTTGCTTCAGATAGGATGCATGACATCGGTTCAGTGTGGATGGAAAGTGAGGTTCATGAGCATTTCATTTTAGTTTCAGATCATAACTCACTTTAATTTAAAATAATATTGTTTATGATAAAATATAAATTAGTAAAATTAAGAAATTATCATCTTTATAATATATTGTAGTTCCTGTTATGTAAACAATAAGTAAATGTTTTAATGGATGAGGGTTAAAACATTAAAATTGAAGAGACTTTTGATTAAACTTTTTTATTTCTTTGTTTATAAGAATTCCAAAGTGATTGATTAATCAAGCAATCATGTTTTTTTTATAAGCCTCAAAATGTAAGACATGTAAGACATACATACCTCAAAATGTAATGATTAATTTTCAGTTTTTTTTATATTGTGTAAAAATTGATTAATTAAACAATAAAAATGAATAATGGTAAGTTTAATAAATGTATGGATTAATACGTCTAAATATTATTGATTTAATGCTGTTAATTAATAGTAAGAAATAATTAATTATTGTACCAACCATGATTACATTACAGTGCACACGTTATATTGTGTTTAGTACTATTTGTACCAATTCAAATAGAGAATGAAATTTTGGAATATGTTTTGATGAACACTATTCTGAATTAGAGTGTGTGTTTTTGCAGTAATGAGAGTTAAGTGATTTTTAATTAACTTATTGTTTCATAACTTCTTCACAATTGTTCATTAATTTAAGGTATGGATTAGCCAATTGGACAAATTGATAAAACACTATAACTAGAAATAAAAATTTGCCCTACCATCCTCAATTGAAGGCACACATATCCGCATTCCAATTGAAGAAAGAATAACTCTATCTGTAGGAATAACTTTGTATGATCCAATGCGAACTGTCCGACACTGCAACAATGTGTATTGGCCAGGCACTGATCCATCTATAATAGATTCGACATCCAAGTCTTTGAATCCTCCTAAAAAAAAAAAATACATTACAAAACCAAGGTATCTTTAAACATCATCAAATATGGATGTAATGGAATAAGAAGAACACTCTATATCTAAGAGTCTACTAAGTAATGTGCTCCTCAATTAAAAATTAATATAATATTATTGAGAA